CGATTACTAACCTAAAATGGCTTCTAAATTCGTAGTCCATATATCGACCAACAACGTGGGCGTAATTTGTAATACGCGGACGTAACTTTCGTTCCTTTTCTCTCTCAAACTTGCTTCCCAATCTTCATCCGAACTCGATGAGCTTTCAGTAATACAATTTCTTCGACGCATTAATAACGTACTGTAAATCACAACAGCATCCATGTTTGATATTATTATCCACAAGGACCACAAGTCTGTTCCGTTACAGTTAAAGTCCGCGACGTTTATAAGTTAGTGGAACAAGAAAACTGCGGTCGATGTGTGCGAGCGTTGCGGGCGCTAAGTGGAACGTACCCTAACCGTGCCCAACGTTGCTTAACTTCAGTGATCGGACGAGAACTGGTGCGCACAACGTGGTTTGGAAGTTGGCATTTGTAGATGGTTATTTCTCTCCTTTTCTTCGACATCCCACTTGAACGCACCAGTGTTTCGGCATAGACTAACAGGACAACGGAGACGCTCATCAACGATATTAGCGCAAGGCGATTGGTTCGATCGCGGCGCGCCGTCCAATCGGTGAGCGCGGGGGCGCACGTTTCACCGAGGGAGGCGTTGTCGCGGCGGGCCGACCAACAGGTGGCGCCGCGGTCGCGGCCAAGAGGTGTATCGGCCGTTCAGGGTGGGTAAACGTGACCGAAGACATAACGAAAATGAGTGCCAGAGTGTGTGTCACATCGAGGCAGTTTCGCTCGCAATAGGGAGGTTTTATTTTGACAGTGCGATACGCGGGCGGCTAGCGCGATGTGTATCACCGCGGCGCGTCCCTGAGCGAAGCCGTGTAGCGTCGAGTAGCGCGCGTCCGTCGCGTAAGATCAGAAATATCGCCGCTCCGGGTCTCAGCCAGTTGGAGACGAGCGGGCGCGCTGCGTGCACCTGCATGTGTCACTTGTGAGTGCAGTGCGAGCCAGGGGACACGTAGTATCTACCTACGCGTTTGTTACGCACGAGTAACGCACAGTGCGACTTTGTTATTATTGTTGTTATTGTTGTTGCCACTATCGCCACCGCCGCCGCCGTCGCCGTCATCGTTGTCGCCGTCGTCGTCGTCGTCGTCGTCGCCGCCGCCGTCGTCGTCGTCGTCGTCGTCCCCGTCGTCGTCGTTGTCGTCGTCGTCGTTGTCATCGTCGTCGTCGTCATCGTCGTTGCCGTCATCGCCGTCGCCGCTGCTGCTACTGCCGTCGTCGCCGCTGCTGCTACTGCCGTCGTCGCCGCTGCCATCGTAGCCGACATCGACGACGCCGACGCTGCCGTCACCGCTGCCGCTGTCGCCGCCGCTCTCCGTGTGCATCATCCGCTCATCCACGGGTACGTCGCCGGTCGTTGTCGTGGCGAGTCGCTCGATGCGAGACTAGAAAAGGACACAAGGAGATCGTCACCGATGAGTTTGGCCTGCTGTTCGCTGCTGCCTCTCTAACTAATCGCAAGCGTGTGTGATGCCCGGGAGCCGCTCCAGCACGGACCCAGAGCACAAGTCACCGCGGGAAAGTGGTGAAGACTCGGAGGATGAGAGCGAGATCCTGGAGGAGAGCCCGTGCGGGCGGTGGCTTAAACGTCGGGAAGAGGTATGCGCTTCTTCAAACACTCCTAACTACGCTTTATCTTGTTCTCTCCTCTTTTGTTTTTCCTTTGCTCCTTCTCCTGCTGATGACTCCAGCTGACGACTCCTACTCACTCCGCTGAGGTAGAGATTGTTACATGTTAACTGTTTTCCATTGTGCTTTCTGTAGGATATCGAGGATATTGTATAAAGGCTTGTTCCTTTTAGCTAAACTTCTTACGCAGCTCATCTTTCTCCTTCTTCTCTCTATGTTAGGAGAGGCAGTTCAATAAAAATAACAGGTCTAATGTCCATTTTCATCAACAGAGATTAACTTTAATCTTGCTTCAAGTTACTCTTTATCTTTTTTAAATTTCTAGTTTTTTTCTAGAACTTCAAAGTACATATTTAATGTAATCTGGTAGAAATGAGTCTAAAACATCTGGATATCTATTATGTAACTTTCCATAGGCAAAAACATGAAAAGTGAAAATTTTGACCATATTGAAAATAATGGAGAAATCTGTTCCTTTTCACGTTTTTTCCCTTAAAGAGAAAGATACATTATTGATACAATGGAATATTCTTTCAAATATCCTAGATTTTTTAAGATTTTTTTTTTACTTTTGGTTTCACTTGTTATGATAGTGATTTATTAAGAATGCCATAATAAAACAGGATATCAATAATATTAATTTTCTCTTTGGGATGAAAATATAAAAATTTCTCTATCAACTTCAATGACCTTTTGTTTCAATCTCTCTTAAATGTATAAATAAAATGTATTAAACAGCAAGATTAATTGTAAGAGTAGATTTTGCATTTGTTGACTGATTTTGTATCTGTTCTTTATATTTTCTTATTTATCTTTTTTTTTTCTTAAATATTTCTTTTAAACCTTGAATAATTATATGACATGTATTATTATATGTATAGTAACATAAAATTTTCACTTTTTATAATATGTTTTCTACCCTACATAAAAAGTTACATTGATACATGTATTAGGTCTATTTCTACCAAAAATAAAAACTTCACCATTGAAGTTAGGAGAAACTTTGAGAAATGGAGAAACTTTTTACTTTTTATGTTATTTTCCATCCTATGGAAAATGTACGTGATTGATAGTCAGAGTTTAATTGGTCTGACATATTTATCGATGTCAAAGCGTGATTCGTAAAGTTATTATATAAATTCTATATTGATTTTAATTATTTATTTAGCTGAGAGCAATAAGAGCAGTTTCCTGTGTTTTTACGTTAATGTATTATTTGTTGTACGACAAATTTTTTTCAAGTCTTTCAAGAAGTATTTTATCTTGTAGTCAAATCGACTTCAAAAATTTATCATACATCAAATGAAATATTAGCCTTAAGTTTCCTTTTTTTTCAAATTATGATAATTTACATATTAATATCCAAAACATTGCGTTTTTGCTTATGCATCTTCAAGATGATTATCTTTATGACATATAAAACATGCTTCAACGTAATGCAACTGGACTATAATTACATTTATGACTTGTAAATATATTTAGAAGGATCAAAATATCGAAGTAAAGACTTATTTATATCTTTTTATTCACTTTATATCTTAATTCTCTATATCTCAATTTATGAATGTCTCTTAAACAGTAACGGTATTCATTAATATAAATTTGTTTAAAATACCTTTTGTTCTAATTGCGTTATAATAAATATTGGCACAGCTCATTTCACGTTGCATTTATACAAGTGGCTATATGTATACTATAGCTATATGTACAGCTGATTTTGTTGTAAGTCTTTTAGATTATAGAGATTTGCTTTTGCACGAAAGATCTCCTTTAGACTATTGTGTGCTTCTCTCATAATTCCGATTACTTCATTCCGTATCTTAACTCATACAAAATTCT